CATGCAAGACTGAAACTCTGCCTCCTGGTCTCAATACTGGACTCTCATGGTTTTGACTAATACAGTTCTAGCTATGAGAGCCGCACCATCAATGATGTCACATGGCCCTAAATTATGAATAAATGTTTTCTAATTTCTTGTAATAAGCAAACTTTATTCTCAATAAAATGCAGAAGGATCCTTTTTGTGAGGCAGCTGTGGCTGAAAGGGAAGAATGGTTTTCCTCTGCGTGCATAAGTGTTAAAATACTGAGCCCCAAATTTCCCCTCATAGAAAATGCTGTCCATAGATGCACTGTAAGAATGTGTTCTTTTTGTGTAATTCAAACTATCTTGGAAAAATTAAATGTTTTGCTTGTGTTGTATATTGAGTGGCGATGATGTGAAGATGATGAAGGAATCTCCAATGACACGGTCTTGCTTGTATAAAAGGTTTATTACAAGTTCAGCATCAATACAAGCACTGCAGTCTGCCTGGAGAGAGATCCGGAGCCGAATCCAACTCCCCGTTTATATAGGAGAGTTGTCATAATCCTGAAGAAACATATCTGGTTTCCCCCAATATCCCATTTCCTCTGAATTAGAAACAGATAATTGGCACCAACTCAAATTAGAGCGGTGATTAGAGCCTTGACCTATTGACCTGATGCCCACACTTAGCTTTTCTCAGGAACCTACAAGCATTCGGACCTCCAGATTATCAAGGCCTGTGGACCTCTGATCAACTTCCCTCAGAGATAAAATCAACACATGGCCTTTGAGACACCACACTTGTGTTATTATAATAATATTCTTTATCTTTTCCCCTTTGAGTGGCTGAATAATACTCGTATGATACAGATGTGATTGGATGGAAAACGGTATCTGACACAGTCATTTATGATAAAACTCTTGTTCATACATAAAAATGTTTAATGCTTCCCATTTGTACAATAGTGTTTGGTTTATAACGGGGTTTATAACATTATAACTTTGTAATCATCGAATTTAAATTAAACAAAAGGCAACTGGATTCATGAGGGCTGGAGCTGGGAAAGCAAACCTTTTTTATTAGTTCTTAAAATCAAAAGGAGGAAACAATCAGTAAACCAGATACAGAGAAAATGTCAAAGAGACAGAAAAGCACAGACCTGAACACAAATGTTCGTCTTTATGTTTGTATGTCTGAAAAAACAGACATTACAAAACTATAAGCACACCACTTGGCACTGATTGGAGTTGATTATATGATTTGTGTGACAGGGCACTGCTCGGGCTGATCCAGGAACAGCGTCTGAAACATGTGGTTGTAGAAGGATGGATGGTACAGGCAGGCTCGAGTGCAGTCTGGGCTGAAATTCACCTCCAAGATCTGGGGTTGCATGATCCGCTCACCTGACCCAGAAACGCACAGATTAGAAAAATAACAATTGCTTGTAACACACAATACATTTTTGTGTCCTATAGACATCCTCAGGTGACAACACTATGCAAATGGTTTGTATTTATATAGAGCTTTTCTAGTCTTGATGACCACTCAAAGTGCTTTACAGTAAGGTTTATGCCACTCAGACACACATTCATAGAGTGCATCTATGTAGAGCACTTTCTTTATGAGAAGGGGCAATTCTGGGGTTCAGACACTTAAAGGTTCGGTGTAGAATTTAGTGACATCTAGTGGTGAAGTTGCATGTTGCAGCTGAATACTCCATCCCTCCAAACATGACAGAGAACCTGTGGTAGCCTTCAGTTGTCATAAAAACTCTAAAGGTGTTTAGTTTGTCCAGTCTTGGCTACTGAAAAAAAACTATGGCGGCCTCCATAGAGAGGACCCACTCCGATTATGTTTATATATAAGGGGCCAAGTCTAGGGTAAAGAAAACAACAATTTGTACAGTTCAGATGAAACACACTAGTGAAAACATCTATAGGATTATTTTATATTCAGTATCTGCCAATAGATCCTTTCACCCACATCTTACACACTGGACCTTTAAGCATGCAGAATAGGGAAGACTGGGATCAAACTGCAGACCTTCTGGTTAGAGGATGAGGACGACTGCTCTACCCCCTCAGCCGCCCGTGTGTGTGTGTGTATTTATAAATACCCACGATAAAATATCATGTCTATCTTAATGCCGACTCCACATGCCGAGCCATCCTTCCCACTCGTCGAGTGAGAGCCAGGCGGCGTGCAAGGGCTCCATAGGCCGAGCCAGGGTGCACGATGCCTGACTGGACGCACATGGAGCGAAGCAAGCCCTACTCTCAACTTGCCGAGTGGGAGCCAAACGGCGTGCAGGTTTAGAAAAAATCTCTGTATTATTCTTGTGACACTTGAGACCCCCTCAAAGCTTTAATAGCAAGGAACACGCACACAGGAGAGAAGTTCTTTCTGCAGTGTTTTAACTTCATTGTTGGGACGGCAGGTTTATCCAGGAACATAACTATGAATTCAGAAGGTTTTTGATCAGTTCTAAGTGTGGCTGATTAGAAAAGAGCAGAAGAACAAAGTCACTTGTTGACCAGTGAGGTCTCCCGGATACTGTAAAGGCTATTATCAGAGGATTTAACTACATAAGCCTTAGTACATTCATGTGGAAAGTGTCAAGATAATAGATATGCATTGTTGCGAATCGAAACGTTGACTGCTGAATCTCAATCGAATCGAATCATGAAGTGAAGATGCACACCTCAAATTGATTTAGACATGTTTTGCTGTGTAAGGACAAACCTGATAATGTGTGGACACATCCCAAACACACCTGACCCATGTCATAGCACAGCCACAATCAACCGTTTCAATGAGCTTTGTTAGTAACAAGAATGATGGTCTAAATTAATTTGGAGGAAATTCTTTTTACCCCCCCAGAAAGCCTATGTTGGGGAGGGGCAGTACTTTTGCAATCTGTGTGGGATGGGGGGCTGTTTGGTAAAGTACTCCATGTTTGCTGATGTTGTAGTGTTGCTTGATTTATATATAGCGTTTTAAATAGTAACCTACACTGTGGAGTTTAGCCATCTAGTTGTCCTCGCCAGTTTCAGATTGATCAAACATTATTAACACTCATAATAACATAACATTTCTGTACGGCTGTGTGCAGCACTCTCTTTTCCCGGTGTCTGTTGTGTAGTCTTCTCCATCACCATGTATTATAGAACAAATGCTCACCATTATCTCCTGTACTCCACTTCAGCATGACGTCTACAGCATATATTGCTCGGGACGATGGGTAGGAGCAAATCCCGTATGGAGCTGGTCGAGAGGAGGCTGCCTGGAAAAGCTCCCTGAATGCTTTAAACAACTCAGCCTGCAAGAGGTAGTGACAGAAAGAAATAGAAGAGAGGTTAAGAGCAGATGCAGATATTTTCCTCCCTGAAAGAGTTTTAATATTTGTAGCAGTCACAGCGAAAAACAGCTCTTTAATTGGTTAAAAAGCAGGAATTACAACCCTGGAGCTAAAACTGGAACTCAGGTTCCTATAGTTGAAAAGTAGAATATGTTCTTAATTCCTCCATAAGTTCCTGGAATCTTGTGCAAATGAAAAGGGATGAACTGTTTCCACTTACTTCTACCTCCTTCCATGGATACTGTGGGTTCTGCTTCTCAAACTCTGGGATGAACTCGTCATAGTGCACCTTTAAACAGCGATGACTTATTATCACATTATTTCCAAGTTCGTATATGCAGATCCAAGATTTGTTTTCTTTTGTGCTAAACCAAAGGATAATATCTTCAACCCTAATCCTAATCTTTATTTAATAATACGCAATGAGTAAAATCAGTAAATATAGGATAATAAGAAAAGGAGAAAGAGGATTACATGCAACAATGCTCCACATCAATAATTGAATGGTTATGGTTTGGTTGCACATCTTACACCACTAAGCAACCAGAGCTATCAAAAACAAAATATTATGAGAAGCGTTTAAATTGTTAATTTTAAAATTATAGTAGTAAGATAAGCTAATTTGCAAAAAAAAAACTTAAAACATACCTGCTTAAGCTCTACACCCTCTGCATAGTTCATAACGGTGAAGTGCTGTTGGTAATCATCAAAGTGATTCATGAGGAAAGGCCTAGAAAAAAAACACAAAGATGTAATAGATGGTAGAGTTGTGGAAATGTCTTGATTCTTAGATAAATCGTGATGCGGACATGGAGGACTCTGCATCGATGCAGTGACAGAACATAATTGATTCAAGTTTAACACTATGTTCATTGATTTGGTTAGTTTTGTTCCACAGTACTAAACTTGACGTTTACTTTGTGTTTGTTTAAGAGGCACACTTTTAAACAAACCGTGCGCACGCATGCCCCTGCCACACACAGCACAAGACTTGATGTGCACAGCCAGGACATCAGGGTTAAAGTGAGCGATTAATGAATAACTTAATAAATGTGGTTATCAATTTCTGAGTGAAGAGCGACAGAGACGAGCACTCATACACACACACTCCTGCTGACAGGAGAGAAGCCCCTACCGCAGATTATCACACATCTAATGAGGCTAGAGAAGATGCAGACTTGGTATGTAGGCCTCAGAGACTAAGATACACATTCCTATACTAAATCAGCAAAATCAGATTAAAAAAATGGGAGTGATCAACCAAAATATCATTGCAAAGTGCATAGATTCAAAATTATAGATCATAACTCACACAGTCGGATCATCACATATCTATGATTTCTTCAAAAATATCTTTAAATTAATGAGGGGAATTAAAAACCAATTTTTAAAGTACATCAAAACTTTACCTGTTGGCAAAACGCAACCAGAAGACATTGTAGGCATAAAGACGCAGAGGCTGCACAGAGCGCAGCATCAGCATGTAGCGAATGTCGAACTTCACCATTCCCACCTCCTCCCTGTTAAACAACACCGGATCTTCAAGGTACTTGCACACTACCTGGAAAACGGGACAAACAGAAACACAGAATGGTAAAAAAAAAAATTAAAACCTGGTAAAGAAAAGGACACAGCCTATTAACTAAATTATAATAATAATGTTTAGTTAGGAGAACAACTATTTTTTGGATATGTTTGACTGTTATTGCTCAACGTCTGAGGACATACAATGATCTACATTCAAAGTAATTTCCAATTGAACCGTGTGATTGGGACTCATGTCACAGGTCAGAGCAGGAAAGCTTCCGTCTCACACTGCGTGGGAAACACGGGTTCCCGGCCTTCTGGCAGCGGATATAAATGTAGCCAGTCTTCATCAGATAGGTGGAAGCCTTGCCATAACTGCAAATAACATCTTCCCCTCGACATTCAAAAGCACTATGCTTCCTGAACAGACTGAGGGTCTTGGAGTTTTGCTCTTTGTGTATGAAGACTGCCATTGTCCTTTTATGATGAAATTATTCCTTGGGTCCACATTGTTCTCATCAGAGTCCAGAGAAGCTTCAGCACTCTTGGGCAGTTGCTGATGATGATCTTCCACGCTGGATCACTTGCCTGAGATTAAGTGGTGATGCTTCCAGACAGAACTCTAGGGAGTGTCCAAATGAGCAGATGTGACACCACAAAAGTAGATCCTCAACAGGATTCACCGTGAGCAAGTAGACGTGTTGATGACATTTCTATCGTGCCCCCCCCCCAAAAAAAAGAATACTATTACAAATATCTCAGGTTGAAAAAGTGGTGCCACACATGCAAAGCACACCAACTAACATGTCGAGGGCTTTTGGTGATATGGGCTGATGCCTGTTATTTCCGTTATTTCAGAAATATTCTGAAGTTTCTAACTGTGGAGTCACCAAGAATGAGCACAGAAAGAGTCTGTGCCAGCCAATGAAGGCTCCGGGACCGGGCAGCAACTTCGTGGTCCCCCCTGTTTTGTGTGGCAAAGATGAGGTGGACTCCAATGCCCAGATCTCTCCCTCTGGACACCTGCCTCTCCCAGCGGGATGGGCGATAGATGGTGATCAGGCTCAGGATCTGAGAAGTAATGTCCATCCGGCTTGAACAGAAATTCCAGTCCAGCAGAGGACCTTGGGGATAGAGAAGCCGTGAAGTTGGCCTGAGACCAAACTGGGCTATAGGAGGGTGAACCGAGGATGTTAAATTGATTCCTTAGCTGAAAGACTTTGTGAAGGGAAAGAAGGGTTTCACGTTTTTTTGTGGCCAATGATCACTGTCCAGGGCTGATGATGTGGCTCCAGATGAGATGGAGTGGAACTTACCCGAGCTTTCGGTTTAGCCCCAAACCAGAGCCTCAGGAAGGCCAACCGTGGCAGGAATAGTAACGGCTGCTGACGCAGCAACATCAGTGAACATGGGAAGCAAGGTCAGTATCGGGAATGGTGGTGGCTTGTGCAAGGCCGAAGACAATGGTATCCAGATAACTCTAAGCATCCTGAATGTGGTACAACTCTGTGATCTTCTCGTTAAGAAGGAAGCAACATTCTCAGCCTGTGGAGCCATGACTCGTGCATGAGCTCTGCTTGTTCTGCTGATAGTTTAAAACCGTAATGTCTTTTTCCAGTTTAATAAAAAACATTTCTTTATATTAAAGAAATGGTCCCAAATTCTGTAATAATCAAGTAATAATTGTTTTTGCAATATCTCAAAAATGGCTTGGCCTACAGTCAAAATTCTTTCACTATATGAATCTCTGAATATCTTTGCTCCATAAGAGTTCTGCTCTAAAATGTTAAATTTGAGCCTTTTTATGTTGAGTTTGACAATAATTTTCATAAATCAAACAAAGGTACAAACCATCAAAGCCACCTTCACCAAATGCCAGCTGGGAAAACATCCCACAAGACCCAGACTTGGAAATAGGACTGTCTAGTATTAAACAACCAGGCTAAAACAAAAGCACTGCTGCAAATGAACTTTCATGAATAGAAGGCCTAAAAAGAGAAGACACATTTGTGATGCATTGTGAGTTCTTAGGCATACTGGTTTTATGGTGTCTGTATGTGTGTTGGTACCTTTGGTGTACTCTCCCTCTGTCTGATGATGTAGTTAAGGTTGTTGGTGATGTGTGTGTCCAGTCCACGGGCCAGGTTCCAAGGCTTACAGATCCAGTGGTTATCCTCTCCGCTGAAAGATAAACCCAGACAATGTATCTGTAATGTAGCCAGTCGAACATCTACCTTGTTAAGCGCTGATCAGACTAGAACTGGGGTATATGGATCAAAAATCAGTACTGCTGAATCCTACACCTCAATTCAAAATATATCAATGTACTATAAAAAGTCGATTTACTGCCCAGACATGTTTTGGCTATATCAAAGAACTCTACACTAGTTTAGTTCATATTAGGTATAAAAAATAAAAATTAAAAAAATTAAAAAAACTACCATTGTTGTCTCAGTTGATAATGCTTGATGAACTTTGGAAGTTCTGTCTGGAGGTTGAAGGTCTCTGGTAGCCAATCAGGTCCGGTTCCGCTTTTTACTCTGCGGGCCACAGCAGCCAGACAGTCTTTCACAGTAATGATGCTCTCACAGGGAAATTGGTTGAGCATCACATGGGGTCTCTCCTCACTCAGTTTTCTGTCAGAGAGATGGTTTTTAAAAATTAATGATGATTGCTTCAGCAGACAGTGGACAACAGGAGAAATGTAAATGGGCTTAATGTAGATGAGAGTTAGATAAAGCTCAATCAAAACAAATTGGAACAGGAATGCAAGCCTCAGAAAGGATTGCTTGAGATCCAAAATTGGGTCCAACTGTCCTACGAGTCCAAACACATGGGTAGATACATACATACATGCATATACACAGCAAAACAATGAAGAGAACACCTAAACCACACATCCGATATTGATGGAATTATTCCAGTTGAAAGTCTTTACTGATATGCATTGTATAATTTGTTGAGAACAAAATGACGTAACAACGGTCAATGGAAACCAAAATCATCCACCCATAGAAGGCGGGATTCAAAACCACACCGAAAACTATTGTCCTGTACCAGGAGGAACCCAGGACACACTGCGCGATTAAGCTCATCTTAATCATAAACATCTCATCCTGCATATCGAGCTGGTAACGTTTATACTGCGCCAAATGTGCCATCCCTAAAAAAATATGTACAACGTGAATAACAGTCGCTTGTTGCATTTGTTGCGCTTGTTGCTTTTTGGATATCGGAAAAATATGTTAAATAAAAGTCGCACTGCATTTCCCCCCCGCATAAATCTCACATTTATTTGGCAATTTGAGGAGGGATTGCTGTCAGCAAAAGGACCAAAAAGCTACCACACCCTATGACAAATCCCTGAGGATCACTGCATCTAAGGGCCATTAAAAGAAAGAAAGAAACAAATATTGTTATCGCGTTTCTGGTTTTGCCATCTCTGGCGTGTAGAGCAGCCATGTGCAGTGTACATCCACCTGACCTTCACAGCACCAACTGTGTGCTCATTATATGGGTGTTGTGTGCGGGTTGACTAGGTGTCATGAGGCAATGAGTTTGATAATAAATCAAATCAGTGAATTATTAGTAAATGAGCTGAAAATAGTTGATATGATGACAAATAAGTGAGGCCAGCCATCTCTGTGACGCATGCCAACTGCACTATTTTGCAGCACAAACAAATCAAAGTGAATCAAAGCAGACTAATATCTCCTATGACAGGTTGGAACCACTTGTTCTCGCTCCCTACTGTACCTGTAAGAAAGCTCAAAATGCAAGTTGGTGACCAGTTCTTGCATGAGGCCCAGTGCTCTTAGCTGTTGTGCATTGCCTGCATTCACCTAAATTACAGAAGCAACACTCACTGCAGACTAAATACAAAGAATCTACTGGTTTTTATTCCTGCCATTGGAATGTCTTTGCTTGTATGTGTGCGTGTTGCTTGGTTTCTGACCTATAATCTTTGATGTGGTCATAGCCCCAAATAATATCAGCTTCTTCCTCCTCTTCTGTCAGCTGGAACTGTGGATGTGTCAGGTTGTTTCTTACTTGTGACATTTCAGTGTAAACTCTGGAAACAAAGCAGAGAACGGGTGAAATGTGAGGGGAAATCTTCAACAGGAAGACAACAGGCACAAGAGGAGAGAACACAGAGACACTATAATGTGATGGATTACGAAAACTGCAAAAAGCCCTGCAACAGGATGGCAGCCCATAAATACAAATACAAGTGAAGCTTGGTCCAGGGTCCTGTCTCACAAAGCAGGTACTTATTGGCCTCCAATAAAGGGGATACACTATGATATGTATTTCCAACCCATGTTAGCTACAGAATGTATACTATATTCACTACAGCAACAAATTCCATGGCAATCAGTCAACATTTGCATGAACCAACTCACTGATAATGCCATTCTTAAAGCTACTACTACAACAATTATTCAATATTTGCTGGAAATGTGTCAGGGATTATATTTTGTTCTGGGGAATTCAAACATTATTAATGCGTATATTTTCTATGACTCTATGAGCTTCCCGTTTCCTCACTTTTACAACATAATGCGACTGTGATTTAATGATAATTTTTACCTGGATTACTGTCAGAAGTGCATCTGTGCATCCATTTAGATATCTAGTGGAGAACAACAGAGTTTAGTCTTACTTAAGGATTTTGTCCTTGGGCACAGTGTATGGTTGGATTTCCACTGGAAGCTGCTCCTTGTTTTCTCTTGAAATCGTCTGGAGGAACACAGGCCAGTGATGTCATAAAATTAGGAATATATTTCATTAAAAAAAGTTCTAGCCATTTCCTCAGGTCCTTTTCCTACAAAATATGAATTTATCAAATGATCCATATCGCACTCCGGTTATTACTTTACCTATGAACACAAACACACATACACTTCCTAAAAAAACATCCACATTCTGCACATTTATAATTAATCGCAACACTTTGGAAGGGATTGAAATGGAAAATATTGTCAGTATACAAATTTATTTTTAGATTATGGTAATAAATGCATACAGATTCTCTTCAGTCTTGACTGTTGGAAGACAACTCTGAACTACCCTCAAAATGTTAACCGACAACACAACTCTGTTAATGTGGGATCTTTTCATACATCCTCTTTGCGTCTTTATCATTTGTGTTGTGCACTGCGTCAACTGTGTCAAACCAAACGTAGCACATCACGTGTGTGTGTGTTTGATAGAGCAAGGGAGAGAGAAAGAGAGCGAGAGAGAAAAAGAGAGGGAGGAATAGAGGGAGAAAGCGGCCGATGAATGCGCTGCTCTGAATAAAGATTTAACTCATAAAAGTATTGAGCATCATGTGATTATCAGTGTTGATATTGTGGCGACAGACAAATAGACTTTTAAACTGTAGCGAGGTCAGAGAGAGAGAGAGAGAGAGTGAGAGAGAGAGTGTGTGTGTGTGTGTGTGTGTGTGTGTGTGTGCACTGTTACTTCCTTCATGTTCTTCAATCATAAATAAACTTAATTATTTTATGTAATCATCCGCTCACAGTGATGAATCTGACCCGGGACAAACGTGATCACTGCAAGTTGACACAGTAGAATTTAATCGGAGGAGGCGGAGCGTTTTACAATTCTCCGTTTCCCTCTATTCTCTTCTTACAACGATAATTTACTGACAGAAAACCCAGTTAATGTGAATGTGTGGTGCATGGATCATTTATTGGAATTTTTGCTGTCTATCGCGTTGACAAGAGATTTTGGATCTATCGTGCAGCCCTAATACATACACACAGACACCAGCACACATTATTTCTTTGTACCTAAGTACGGTGACAATGTAAAGACCTTGACTCACATCAACAGTTCTCACCTCATAGTATGAGTCCAGGGGTTCTGCAGTGGCACTGCTGACCCCTTCTAGATCAGTAGGTATCCACGGTATAAGTCGGCATCGCCTCACCAGGGGGTTTGTCTCCCCATATGTGTAATCACGGGTTACTTCATCTGTAGAAACAAGAAGATGTAACAGATGATACAATTCTGCTGTGTGGAAATGCTGCCTAATTAAATTGGTTCCTACTAAAGACAAATCTTTGTCTTGTGGTTGTTTCCACATTTGTGTGTCATTGTGTGTGTCACATGTCACCCAATAGTTTTGAAACAGATACCACAAGACTTTACTTTGTTACCAGTGACCCTACTTGTGACTAAATGGGCAGCATTTATATAGCACTTCTCCACTCAAAGCACTTAAGACTCGTAAGTCACAGTTCACCTCCTTCCTGCAGGTCCTGCAGAGGCCAGAGGACAGTGTAGGCAACTTGGCCATGAATGTAGAAAAAGGGAGCCATGCCACAGCTGGGCTGATCAGAGTGCTGTACCTGGGAGCCAAACTCATCCATGATGTACCACACAGGAACCTTCTCCTCTGCTGACTGCACATGATCACACAAGGAGAAGAGTGAAGTGAAAGACAGAGAGATAACTGACACAATGACTATGTCCACAAACTGTTTCAATTGGTGGAGATGTAGACAAAAGATAGTAGCATGGCAGATAAAATGTGGGGTCTTCCATGAACCAGAAGATGACAGTTTAATGTAGAAATTGTAGAAATTCTGTAGAAATTGGTTTCTCTTCATTGCATATGACTTTTAGATATATGCATATATCATGCTGGGGAAAATCTCCCCAGCAAGAAGTTGAAAACTATCAGCTGATGTTAGGTTAAGTGACGTTGGGTAACGAAAAGATACTTGGGATATGTTGAACTTGCTTTGAAGTACAGGCCCGTGGCCGAGTGGATATTTTTTCTGAACATACCCCCTGAGAGAGGTGATAGGTCTGGTTGTACTTCCACATGTGCTCCATCACTTCCTCCACCGTGTCCGGGTCAGGGGCCTCACCATGGAAGTCCAACCCCATGAGGGCAGCCATTCTAGACAGCAGACCTGGGATCTGCTCCAGCTGCTGACGAGTGTGTTCCACACGGTACGTCCAGGCATGATCCACCAAGAAAACACTGTAGGAAGATAGAAGGATCAAAGTTCATTTAAACTGCCCTTAACTCATTAAACTCGTTGTTTATATTTAAAAGAATCAGAATCAGAATCAGAATTCTTTTATTTGCCAGGTATGTTTGCACATACAGGAAATTGCCTTGGTGTCATTGGTGCACTACTTATGTACATAAAACAACAATATAAAA